AAAAAAAAAAAAAAAAAAAAAAGAAAGAAAGCAAAGAAGAAAAAGGAGCAGTTTCCTTGTAAGATGCCGAATATTGGAGAACTTTATGTTTATCAAACACCTGCATATTAATCCATCTTTTCTTGTAATTTCATCAGGATTTTGCAAGCGCAAACCCAGTGGTCTTTACCCTGATCCAGAGAATTGCTATGGCTTCATTCAGTGCTCCTACGGCAAAGCCCATTACAGAGATTGTCCCGCAGGATTGAAATTTGACCCTACACTATCCGTCTGTAACTGGGCAACCATGGTGGACTGCGAAAACGAGGGCAGCGGAGACTTGGATTGAGAAAATGTCTTGTATTGTAAGTGGAGCAATTGTTAAAACTGCTTCAGGCATTAAAATAAGAAAGAAAATAAAGTTGCTTGGTTTGTAAAAGGTTTGATTAAAATGTAGAATTAAATGAAAAATTGACTTCAGGAAAGAGTTCGTTGTCTTTATTCTACKCGCCAGTCTCTCGTGAGATTGCTACGTCATGGGTAAATGTTTCAATTCCTGGATTTCACTTGACGTCATTTCCTGTCTCGTGCGGAATGTTCATCAGCTGAATCGTGAGTTTTTAACAGCACATGGTGGTCAGTACGTGTTTGACCATTTGGAGCACATAATGAGATTCAAATAATTTTATCAGTTGATCATGAAACCAAACAATATAATGTATCCATTTGACTTCCAATACGATAATAATTCACCAATTTTCTTTCTCATTTAAATTTTTAGTCCCACACGAGAATAAAAACACGATCGGAGCTTATTTACTGAATAAAAAAAAGGGTGCAATTTTTTCTGCTATTAGAAGTCCATGAAACCATTATGCACACGTCCTAAACGAATCAAAACGATTACTATAAAGTTGATGATATCAATGAAACATGATATTTCATTTCCAAAGAAAGCTAAAAATAAAGTCACTTTTGTTCATTTTGGGGCCAAAAGCATGGACTATAGCCCATGGTTTTCACCAATTTGAGCCATTTTTTACACCTTTTTTGTAGATGATGCATTATTTATAAAGAATGCAAAATAGGTCATTTTTGTTCATTTTGGGGCCAAATACATGGACTATAGCCCATGCTTTTCACCGATTTGGGCCATTTTTCACACCTTTTTTGCAGATGATGCATTTTTTATGAAGAATGCAAAATAGGTCATTTTTGT